GCCCTGGAAGGTGGGCTGTTCACCTGCGTTTCCGAGCTCCACGATCCGACCATCGTGAATGGAAAGGGCCTGCTTGCTCCGTCACGAAAGAGCACACACAGACAATCAGTTTGTGTGTACTGGTCTCCCGGCTATTGTCCTGAATCGAAGTGGTGCCAGATCTGGTCGGCCCCTCCAGACGTCCGACACACATCTTGTCTGCCTAATGTTGTGCACACACACATACACATGCACACGAGTACAGAAACACCGGGCGCCTGGTACCATAGCTGCAGAGAGGATCGCTCTGCTCTACCATCTTCACTAATCGTCTAACTCATCCACCTGCAATGCTACCCGTCCAAATTTGCTGTTGTGTGTGTGTGTGTGTGCTGGCACATGTGCAAGTGTGCTGACAAATCTGTTGCCGAAACAGAACCAGAGTCTGCGACTGCCTGACCGACCCTCTGATCAGGAGTGTGCGTTGTCATGGCATAGTGCACCAGTAAAGTATGCAATTCCACACGGCTGACCGAGGGCAGGTTGGCACGGGCTGTGGCAGATACAGGTTTACTTGAGTGATTCACGCCAGGAGTGGGCCCGGCAGGCGGGTTCAACAGACTCACGAGCCAGGCATGCAGAAGTACGGACAAACACAAACAGGCTTGTGAAGACTAACTTTCTACACAGACAGATGGGGAGAAAGGATGAGACGCAGATTTGACTGTCCCAGAAATGTCCTACCAAAAGAAGCTGCCATTCTGGTCTAGGAGGTCAGGCGGCCTAGACTACTCCCCAGGACTCGGAAGCTGGCTCGGTGTACAAGGTAAGTTCCGTTCTAATGGCAGAGCCATCGCAACCGAGTCTATCCGATCGGCTTTTCAGGCCGGAAGGCATGTGGAGCCGCCCCATCCTTATGTGAAAGTGTCGGATTGTATGCAGACGGGAATAGGAATTGAGGAATACAGATACATAGCTATAACAAATATATCACTTGCATAAATTAAGTTCTGACATGCACAAAAGGTGTATGGGTTCATATGTGCATGTCTATTATGTGGTAATGGATAGAGACGTGTATGCAAAAAATGGTGTATAGCCATACTGGTTCTGATAGAAGGTAGAACTAGCGAACCTATGGACTACTTAAGCCAGACAGGCACTTGTGTCTCTCCTGACAACGTTCGCATTCCAGCCCCGCTCAAGCCGTGCTGGAGAGACAGACATGCCGAACAAGGGTCTCTAGATCGTGTACTTGCAGTCAATTCGGGAAAAGTTTGCCTGCAGGGTTTGGTCTCTTTTAGGGAAAGCATTTGGACGTAGTTAAAGATGTAGAAAACGACACGAGCTGTAGATGTATAGAAAGAAAGAAAGAGCTGGAGAAAGAGAGAGAGAGAGAGAAAGAGGGATCAAGGAACGAGCTGATGGAGAGAGCCAAAGGGAAGAGTAAAATTGTTATCTGGAAAGGTATACAAAGAAGAGATAAGGCTGAAAGAAGGGATAATGGCGAAACACAATCAGCCAGGCACTGAGGACGTCAAAACGGTATGTAGAAAGTTTGAAAAAGATATGGGTGATAAGGGGAATGAACAAGCAGAAAGATGATGATGATGATCAACAGATATCCTGTAACAAAAGAAGTAGGTGGAAAATAGTGTATGAATCAATTAAGATGTATACTTCGAAACAAAAGTGTGGCGGCATCGGTAGAAGCGGGAAATTAGGCAAGTGGACTGATGTCTCAAATGGGGGGAGAGGGCAAGGCAGAGCAAGGAAGAATTCTTCTAACCAGAGCCATCAAATTAACCTGTACTGTCTGAGGTATACTAACTGGTAAAGAAATGTCCCTCATCTGAGTCGTCATCACACGAAAAAACAGCGTATCCAGGCCTATTGCAAGAGAAGCAGGTGCCTGCTGTGATCGCAATTAAGGAAATGAAGAAATAAAATTGTGCCTAAAATAAGCATATATGCAAACATATATTGCTTGTTTTCTAAACTAATAGGGAGCGTATACTCTATCATATAAATTACAATAAAGAATGTAAGTATATCAGCCAATTATATCGGACAATTAAATACTAACGTCGAAATTACACCAGTACTGCGGTTAGTCAGTACCGAGGCGACAAGAGCTATGCAAATGACCCTGGCCTGTCAAGCTTAACCATAAATGATAACTAGCCTTGATATGATGTTTGCTTACAGTGGATTTATTAGCAGAATTGATACGATTATGCATCACTAGCAAAAAGTGCACTTGGGGCCAATTTTGTGTACATATGGTCGTTCATAAAAGGTTCAAGGCCCGACGTCCTTAGCATGTCTACACTAAAATGTGTAAAAAACGAAAATAGTCTACGATACTGGTGTGCGACATCGATGCGAGAAAGGATAACTTTAAATGTTCAGGCCAAGTTTGACTTAATGCTGATAGTAAGATAGCGACGAAAAATCGTGGAATTTTTATTATCTTCTCGTGCAAACCTGTAGGGGGTAATTAAAAGCATAGTATTTTTCGAACTCGGCCATCTTTACTAAAGCAACCACCATGGACGTTCCAAAACGTTATTCAGGATACACAGTGATGCCTGGTGGAGTGGGTTGATTAATTTTTTTAAAAATCACATCGGAACGCAATCAACGCAAGGGGTTTATAGGAAATACTGTTCATTGGTGTAGGTTATAGACATGGATATTTACACAAAGTGAAAAGGAGAAGGA